GGGCACCGTGCTGTACCCGCCCCTGCTCGGCCCTCCTTCCCTGCAGACAGCTTCAGCCCTGCTGGGTGTCCTCTTTGTCCTTCTTCCCAGCCCTTGGTTCAACCCTCCTGCTGCAGGTGGGGAAACTGAGACCTCGCGGGTTCTAACCTCGCGAGCTCTGCACTGCACGGGCGGAGAGATTGTCCCGTCTGAGCTGGACCCACAGCCCAGGGGAGCCGGGGAATGGCAAGGGGGTGCCAGCCTGGCCCAGAGGAGTGCTTGGCTTCGTTGGCAGGAAGGTGTCCCAGTCCTGCGAGGTCTTCTGCCTCAGTTTCCCTGACAGTATCTCAGCTCCTAAGATGCCCCGGCCACATGCACTCAGCTGGCCCCGGTTCCCGCTCAGCCTCTCTCCCTAGTTCGAGGCTGGGAGCTGCCATTCCTTTGCAAACTCATTATTTTCCCCTACAAAATGGGAATAAGAGGCTGGCAGGTGGTGTGGTGGTGAAGGACACTGGACTTCCACCTGGCCCACTGTGGTTCGATTCCTGGACTTGGCGGCTTTCTTTCTGACTCTCATTTTGTCCCTCTCTGGTCCAATTAAAATAAATAAAATAAAGGTCAATAAAATAATTAAAAGAAAAAAAAAAGTGGGAATAAGCTGCTTGTGCCCCAAGAGGCTGTGGGATGTGACGCGGCCCGCGCGCGCGTGCTCGGGCTGGCGTTTGCAGCCCTAGTGGATATGCAACCGCTTCCAACCGGCCCCAGACCCTGCTGGCCACATGACTCCAGGCTGGCGGGTCTGGTCTCGAACCCCAGCCCCCAGCAGTCGCGCCCCTCCCCAGGTGAGCGCGGCGCCCCGGGCGAGGTGCGGGGTTTGGCGGGGGACCCAGGCTGGCCGGACCGGGCTGCGCTGTGTCCCTACTGACTCCACTTGTTCACGGCCGGGTCCCCTCCACCCCCCCAGCCCACCGAGATGGAGGCCGCCGCTGAGTTCGTGGTGGAAAGCCCAGACGTGGTGTATCGCCCGGAGGCTATCGAGGCGCAGTACGAGTACCGGACCACTCGCGTCAGCCGCGAGGGCGGTGTCCTGAAGGTGGGCGAGGGGACCGGGGAGCCTTGGGGACTAAGGGGTAAGGAGGAGGGGGAGCGTGCCGGGGAGATAGCCCCGTCCCTGCCTCGAGAGTCGAGATGAGGCCCCGGCCCTGTGGCTCATTGCACCGCCCGTCCCCAGGTGCAGCCCACGTCCACGCGTTTCACCTTCCGGACCGCCCGGCAGGTGCCTAAGCTCGGGGTCATGCTCGTCGGCTGGGGCGGGAACAACGGCTCCACGCTCACCGCCGCCGTGCTGGCCAACCGATTGGGCCTGTCGTGGCCCCCGCGCACGGGCGCGAG